TGATTTACATTTTTTGTAGGATATCGACGAGATCGCCGATAAACAGCGGAGTAAAGTGGAGAACTTGGCCAAATACGTCCATTTGCAGGAGGTAGGTACATTTCAAATTATTATTTCGGTCAGAAAATATTAACTATTTTACACCAAACCAGTGATAATATATTTAAATAAGTACCATTTATGTTTCTATCAAAAAGATTTAGGGAAAAAGGTAATGTAAGTCCACTGCTGTTTATCTGAATTTGGAAGCCACAAATTGACGTTTAACTATGATTATTGCATGGCCAATTTCATGTGAAATATTAGTGCTAGGCATTTCACACTTACCAATGACCACCCCCAGTAGTACCACCTCTGAACCATGTAAGCACCTCAGAATGGCCAAAGCTTTTATGGTTTGGTAGATAGCAGTATGGCGAAAGCGTCGTTTTTGGGTGTGGTCAGTTTCGGACGTTTCGTCCCGGATTGGGGTTCGGGCAGCGTTACCATGTTGACCGTCATGGTCAACTTGCCCTAAAACAGTTGAGATTATCTGTCCTAAATGAAATGCATACAAACTCATATACAGGTCCTAGACTATGGTTGGAGGGAAAGGATGATTTTCTTCTAATTTTGTCTCGTGTAGAAATCGATAGGTTGCAAAAACGTTCAGGTATTGATGTTAATTCTCGAGAAACGGAGAAATCATCAGCCGTTAGTCTCTCGTTGATGGAAATGAACACAGGTTTAGATCTTGTTGACAGCCAGAGAGATACCACGAGACACACCATCCAAAATGATGCCGAGATGGCAAAGGATTGGCAGGTTTTACGCATTTTTATACTTCTTATTTCCCAAAATGTTCTAATTAAATCACCAATTGTTCTTATGATTGTTCTAATAGATGACCGTTATGGCACGTGTAATGAATTATTATTATTATTATTATTATTATTATTATTACAATTACAATATTGCCTGCTCCCAAAAGGGCTTTTCAGCAGGTAATTACAAATCATTTATATACTACAAACAATATATATATATACACCCACAAACATACGTACATACATACAAACACAAATTAAAAAATTTATAATTATTAGTAATGTCACTTTAAAAATGATTAACTACTTCCTAGTAAAATCGATACAGTAAAAACGTTTATATGCTAATTTAAACAAGTCCAAATTGTCTAAAACTATTAACTACTTTCTAAAAATCCATGGAATAAATGACGTTTATATTCTATTTTAAACCGGTCCAAAGTGTCATTGTCTTTAATATGATTTGGGAGCTCATTCCAAATAGACACTGCGCGATAATGAAACGTTCGCTGTCCAGAAGCCGAATGTGGAATGTCTAACTTATCCTTATTTCTGGTGTTAACACTGTGGATCTTTAATCTCATTTCGAATTTGTCACACAAGTATGGCGGAGCTAACCCTTTCATGCACTTAAATGTCATAACCGCATCCCTGAGTTTTAACATGCACTCAACTGGAAGCCAAGCTAACTGCTGAAGGATAGGCGTCACATGGTCATATGTTCTGATTCCAGTAATAACGCGTGCCGCGAAGTTCTGCACGCTTTGGTGTTTTGATATATTCTTTTTCGAGGTGTTCGACCAAACGGAGGAACAATAATACATTTTACTGAAGACCAGTGCATTTATAATAAGGGATAAAGTGTGCATGTCGAAAATATGCTTAACTCTGTTGATTTGGCATAATTCAGTGATACATTTTGAGACGGTATCGACAATATGTTTGACGTAAGTCAAACTTGAAACCAAAGTCATTCCCAAATCTTTAACCGTCTGAAGTGGGATTATTTTCTCACCAAGAACAGTTACATGGAAATCTGTGCCAGAGAGTTTTTTCAGCATTTGACTTGTACCCAGTAATAGAAGTTTCGTTTTCTTTGGATTCACTAGCAGACTATTTATACAGCACCTACATGATCGTTTGCTCACGTACGTTGTTTGTTTGCCGCACGCGCTGGAATCAAACGCAGTTCGTAATAACGTTCCTTGAATCACGTAGCCCGTATGCACACGCCAAGATCAACTGTCAACTTGCGCGTGCTCAAAATATATTGCAAAATTCCTTTCGATTTTACAAATAATCCAACAAAATAAAGTGTAAATATTCAAAATTTTACCAAATCAACTTCACCTTCCCAGATCGAGACAAATACTTTAACCACAATTCTTGTATGATTCAAACCCACAAAGTCGTAGAAATAAGGTAAAACGATTGATGGTTTTGCGGTGCGATTTGACTCGCCGCTCGCGCGCCACGTATTTTTTTCAGTTTTTGGGGGAAGTGGGGGGCGAATAGGATGTCTCAATAATTTTTGCTCCTGATTGTCTCTACATACTGTAAATTTTAAGCCAATTTTATGTCTCAGTTGCCGCGAGAAAATACAATTGTAACTTATTTTTTGGTTGTCAATCGTTGACTTGACAATAAATTCACGTAATAAGATTATGTATGTCAATGACGTCACTATGACGCCATCATAATATAATAAAAAGTGTGATTTATACAATATTGTTGCATTTGAAGGAGATTTTATATTATTTCTAGTTACAAAAATTAGTTAGTTGTTTTGTTTTGAAGATTTATAATCAAGTTTTCAACACACAATTGGAAAAAGAATTTTTAAAACAATTATTTGACAGCTAATGTAATTTGATCTTAAAAAACGTTGAGAAAGATTGAGGAATTGGGTAATTGCATTAACAATTTTTCATGAAATATTTGTTTTAAACACTAGGAACAATGTATTATTTTCTCCATTTTTACAAACACTAAGTATATTACTCCAAAAGATAGTACTGCAAATGCATAGGGCCGTTTTAGGCGGTTAACGCACATAACTCTACATGTTACCACATGTTACCATCATGTTACCATTTTTCCTCTATTCATTTCTATATATTATGAACATCATTTACCACATGTTACCATCTATTTTATAAGATAGGCCTAGTATATACTATATTTATAGAAAATAGTGGTAACATGTGGTAACATGTTCAATATATATAGAAATCAATAATGGAAAATGGTAACATGAATGGTAACATGTATGAAACCTAAGATAAATCGATGCAAACGCGCGTACTGAGTTTCGAATATCGGGTTAAAATAAACTGCGATCACCGTACGAGAAGCATTTTGACGGATGCGATTTATCGAAAACACAAATTAAAGAGTGCAATGGAATAAAACGTATAGTACAATTGCACTCGCAAAGAGTGCAATGGAACGTAGTCCAATGCTCTGCCAACCAGTGCCGTAGCCAGAACGATAATTGGGGGGGCACATATTCATATATTCGTGTTCACATACTATAAAAACAATTGATTTCAAAAGAAATTAATAAAACAGAACACGAATATATGAATATGTGCCCCCCAATTATCGTTCTGGCTACGGCACTGCTGCCAACTCGAACAGAGCATTGGTCTGGTATCCCAAAGGTCGCGGGTTCAATTCCCACAGTGGTCAGGCTAACTTTTCAGCCAGCTGCCCTGGTGTGAATATACACTCTGAATAACATCAAAAAATTATTCATCATGTTGAAAAAACGGTCTTTAAGGCCGCCGGGTTTCCATTGCAGTCGCTTTGCCCGCGCGGGCGCAGCAGGCTTTGAAAATCTCTCACGCGGGCGTGACGGGCGTCAATGCAAAGCGAACGTTAATGAAACGGCCTTTAGTCAGAATCGCATATTTCACCGTTGAGTTTAAACCATTGAAAATTAACCCCCTTTGCCTTTGGGACTTAAGTTGAATGTTGTTGTTGATGAATTTCACTTCAATAAACTACGCACATATTCATAATTTTATTAATTAAGTAGGAATAAATCGTAGCTAAGCTATGACAAGTTCGTGTCGATTAATAATTGCTTTTTCTTTTGTTATGCACTGCTTTAATTAGGCATGTGTTAAAACCTGGACGATTTTTATTTACAGTCAAAACACTAAAACCCGCACACTCCGCTCTTGAATTTTGTTGTCATTTATTGTATATCCCCTTGTGTATATTATGTACTGTAATAATAATCCTAACATTGCAATACTTCTAACAAAGAATGGCTTTTCCGTAAGATTCACTGCATAAGTAGCAAAATTTACTACTTTTACTATTGGTAACGCATAATTTGGTAGCCGCAAATTAAAGTAATACAAAACAAAATATAGCCCTAAATGATAACAAAATGATAACCTATTACTTTATTATTAACTATCATTTATTGTTAATCATTGATATACTGCATGTATAGTTTAACAAAGGACGTATAATCCGCACTGGTTGGAATTCCTTCTGCAGTGTATTGTTGTTAACCAGACACAGGATGTGCGCTGCCTACTGGCCTCGCGCATGCAGTTCTTTGGCAATAGTTGATTCTGTTAATACAATTTTGGCGTTTCGTTGTCTGTCTTTGTGCCGTCTTTTACAGTCATAGCTATATCTTCGAACAACGGAGAATAACTTTGCATCGTTTTAATTATGATCTTGTTGATAAGACTTTTGTTAGCCTCCCGACCTGGTGTTTGTTCGATTTCATGGCACCATACGCTTTAGCTAGTTGCGTAAATCTTGTACTTTGTTTTCGTAGCAGTTTGAAGAGTGTCACTTCCTGATGCAAACGCTTTTTTTGTCTCCGATCGATTACGGATTTTAGCTCACCCACGGTCGATCACTGGAGTGGATTTTAATTGATGGTTCTGGTATGAGTACGTTCAAGCCGTATAATTTATGTTGGTCATAACAAAGTTTTTGATCATTTGACTGCGTAGACTTTCCCAAAGTCCTTTCCAGTTTTTTTCTCGACTTGTGGGCAAATCTATTGGAAAATTATTCTGCCCACACTACTGTACTTACTAACTTTTGCAATTTCCTCTTTTCGCCGAGACTCATGGTACCGTAAGTAATGTCAGGTGATGAAGGGGCACTAATCGGGATGAATGAAAACCAGGAATTTACGTTCGCTATTTGTAATTAGGCTTTAGCGCAAGTCATCCAAACCAACTGGGTATAGCGTATGCCGAGATTCGCAAGAATACATAAATCGCGCAAAAGATTGGGAACGGGTGAACTCTGAGAAATTCAAGCAGTGCCTTGTGCCAGGAATGCTGTGTAGCCTCGCTGCGCTCGGCACCAATTAATTGCTCTCCAATACTCAAAGCACTGCGTACAGCAAATATTTCGATTTAATATACAAATAACGTAGAATTAATTTACCTAATTTTCAAATATTCATAGTTTACATATAAATATTGTGATGAGTGTTTACTTACATAATATGATTGTTGAATAATGAACACAATATTCTTGTCTTTGTACAACAATTTCAGATGTAGTGCTTTAAGAACGTTTAAATCTTTATAAACATGCAAGTAAAATATAAAGTCATCTAAAACATATTTGCAAATAAAATAAGAAAATATACTATATTATTATTCTACAAATATTAGCTACCTATCTCCGTGAACTGTTCTCTGTAAACGACTTTGGAAATCGTGATACAATAAATTACCACCCATAGGTACTCGGTATAAAAACATATCTAAAGTCATAAGGCACAAAGCTTTGCCATTCATATGAAACTTCAAAACGTCGATATTTCTTATATTGTATGTGCATCCCATCCAGTCCAGCCAGCTTCGAACATCATGGCCTGACCATTGTCTAGGATCTAAAAAGCAAAACGGTACTTTAATATTCGTATAACTAAACGACTAAATTTAATACATGGTCGTGGAACAAAAATGGAAGTGTTTTTATCAGTTGAAAACACTGTTTAATGAATAATGTTCTTTGCTGGATGCTTACACCCACTTTTTTGTTAACCTTCTTTTAAAAAATTCTCTTAATTGCTCTGTTTTGTATAGGTAATAGTATGGTTTCGATTGCATTTTGGAAAAAACATGCACGAGTGAGTTTTTCAAAGAGACTATCAAAATTGCACGAGTCCGAAGGACAAGTGCAATTTGACGTTTTGGAAAAATTCACGAGTGTATGTTTTTTTCAAATTGCACAAGAAACCATACTATTACCTATACAAAACAGAGCAAGAGAACTTTTTAAAAAGAACGGTTAACAAAAACTGGGTGGAAACATCCAGCAAAGAACATTACGGTGCGTTTGAACTGATAAAACGCACTTCTATTTTTGTTCCACGGACCACGACCATTATTAATAATATACATGAAAAAAATATGCAGTCACGTGCGCAAGTCACATTTAGAAATTAAGAATATTTAGAAATTTGCACTGTACAGTATTTCTTTTTTCTGTACTGTATTTCATTTTTTGGCACTGAATTTCAAAAAAATTGCACTGCTCTTAGCCAATCAGAATTGAGAATTTTTTTCATGTATATTATTAGTCTGGATAAAACGTCTGACAAATTCAGCATTTGGTCGAAAACCGTAATTTGGTCGGGAAATGTACGATGTCCGGCCTTTATTTTTGGCTCTATTAAATCCGTAGGTAAGCTTTTCCCACTACAGAGTACAGGTGTAATATAATAATTTTTAATGTTTACTTTCCTACCTTCAGGGAAATTCTCGCCAATAAAAGCCTCATGACCATGTCTCTCTTGTTTCACCATTGTTGGATAAATATTTGATTCAGCATTATTTTGCATCGCAAACGGAGCTAAGGAGTGCCCTATAGACGGAACAAAAATTGCAATGTAATGAAACTAATTTGAAATTACACCATACCTTTTTCATAGCTACACATATCATTATATGCTATATATATACCATACACCTATCATATTGCGTATTATTTTACAACTTGGATGTTGACAGATATTCGAAAATAATGCGTATTTATAACCTCGTTCTTAGCACCTTTTATCGACTTTATCTCTTGGGGCAATCTTCCCAACTTCAACAGGAAAATAGATGTTTTAATATCTAACCTACTGTAGTAGTGCTGCAAGGTCAGTAAGAGGGAGCATATATAGGCAGAAGAGATGGAAATGCTAGAAAGGGAAGGATATTCACAGAGGCAAAGTCAAACTATAGTTCATGATAGTAGCATAACCTGTGTTATTAGCCCCCATCACGGCATAGTCTTTTACAGTAAATAAAGATTGAAGTAAAAAAATGTAATTCATGTATTCATGAATGTTTGGTGTAATTCATGTATGTACACATGAAGGTAGTGAAGAATACAATTTTCCGGCCTGTGGTTGTGTCGTACACAGAAACCCATCTAGATTTCATTGCCACTGCCTCCATGCTTTATGCTACTGTAGCAACATTTGTTTGGAATAATTGTACATAATCAATACAGCAATTTTAATTTGCATTCTTGTTTTTCAATTGGTGGACAAAAGAAAAGGCATTGGAAGGTAATACATTCTAACACAACATTACATATACTGTACATCACATTCTTTACAATTTTTCAACCATGGATACCTCTATATTCTTTTGAATAGGTAAATTAGCATTAATCTGGGGCAAATGGGGCTTGAAAATCTCAGCAACATACAGTATGTCAGACATCTGAATTTTAACTTATGTCATCCCCAATATTTCAGGAAGTGTCTGTCACCAATCTTGATATCAGCATTTAATTAACAAAACCCTGGATTGGACAAACTGACATTGGGTTTTATAGTTTGATTGTGAATTTTTGGTGTTTCTGGTGTTATGCACTCAGGTGAAGATATATGTTTGTGATGTTGTCTCTGAGTGTGTCCACACCATGCAAGCTGAAATGTTTGCTTGACCGCAGTTGAACCTGCAACCTTTGGTTTGCTAGTTCTAGCTTGCCAGGTAGAGAAGACAACATCACAAACATATAGTTTGATTGTGTTGTAAATTGTAATTGTTTGATTTGTTTTGATTTTGTACTCCTTGCACACACAGGCCTATCTTATTCTGCCTATAAATTTCAGTCGGACGATATAACAATAATTTTTTTATCAATCAGCACGCATACATGTATGCAAGTTACTGTATCATATTGTTATCGTTGTGTAGTGTGACCGGGCCTGTAAGGTTTGTTACAGTCAGGCTGGATAGCAAGATTATAATATAGTACAAATTTATTTGCTTTTATATGGAAAACATGCCTGGCAGCAGCTGAGTTCTCACTTCAAACAAGTGAAATTTCAGTTACTTGCAGAGATGAAAGTTTTCACATAAAAAACTCACTAACCACACTTGGCTTATTAACTGTCAATTGCAAAGGCAAGCAGGATGAAATATTTTCATATAAAGCACAAGTCAAAATTCATCTCGCTTGCCAGGTGTCTTCCTTATCAGGCTAGCTCAGTTCCAAAGGAAACAGCTCCTACGAACACCCAACAATTTTATTCATCAAGGGGAAAGTTTTAGGCATTTAGTGTATTAACCAGGCTGCCCATAAACCTGCAATGGTCACTAGTTTTTTTTTTATTTTGCTCTCTTTGGGAAAGGGAAATGTGCTGGGCTTTTATTGATTAAATTAAGTTTGTGTTATTAATACAGTATATACTGTCAGGGCTGCAAATAAATATTTGACTTGACAGGACATTTGTCCGATCATTTTTAATTTTGGTCGGTCATAACTTGAATTTGGTTGGACATATATATGTCACAAGATATATATAAGTCACAAGACAAGTATATAGCCATTCCGGCGCAACGTTAAGTAAAATGCTAGAATATTGCCACATAAATTTTATTGGAAAATGCAAATTGAGTGAATTTGCAATCGGATTTTGTCACAGCAAAAAAATGTATAACGTGACAGTATTTTTTTTTGATCTGACCAATGTCCGATCAAAACTTTTGCTCGGACATTTGCCAAATTTAGCCAGACATGGTCCGATGTCCGACAGACAGTAATTTGCAGTCCTGTACTGTATTTCTGTTTTAATTACATCAGTCCATTGCACAGTGAGTTGTTTCCAAAAATTATCATGAACTTACTGCTGATGGTCTTTTAATATGATGTCACTAAATACAGTATTAAAAGTTTTTGAATATTCTATATCCTTATTCTATAAACCCCCCTATTGTTCATTTATAATACAATACTACATAACATGAACATATTAATTAAAAGTCCTATTGAACTGTTTGAACCCTAAGCGCCTATAGGCTAGTCTAAAATTAAAACAAATTATAGTGTATGAAACAATACAATATAGTTTCATTTAATATGCCATGCCATAAGCCCATAACCAGTAATCAGTCAATTGCTATAAATAACCAGTATTATCTCTCAACTTTACCCGTGTTGAAAATACTGTCAAATTTGCAATACTCCAATAGTTTGATCCCTAAAAACAAGTCACAGTTGCGTCCCTTACCTTATTGTGTTTAATACAATCACTTCGAATTCCTGAGTAGAAATCCTCTTGTTCAATGAAGTATAGTGTTTTTACAACCGATTGGGCAAACTTTAAACTGTATGGAATCAGAATTTGAATGCGCTTATTATACCGAACTCTCGAAGCAAAAGCATTTCTAAATTTTAGGACGTTTTTGAAACGCGAGAGTCAGTGTGAAGTGCGGAAACGAGCTGTGACTCACGCATACAAGACGTAATAATAATCTGTATATGGAAATAGCGCCAAAGAAACAAGTAAAATACGGCCGCTTACCTTGAGGCAAAGCTGCCATGATCAACTTTTATAACACTCTGTTCTTTATATATCCTGACCCCAAGTTCATTTACGCTTTATAAAGTAACAAATTTGTAACAAAAATAGCCTATGGTACATGTATGATTGATCTGATAAGAGTAAAACAACGCTTCTCATTCCAAACTATAATCTAACCTTCGTAGCCATAAAACGCCAAATCGAAATGATCCAAATCGGAAACGGCAAAACAATACACGCCGGAAGTTCGTCACAATGCTATTATAGTGAAGTGGCACTTTGTCAGCATGTAATAATCAAACTAAAACAAAATTTCACCTTACTACGTACAATGACAGTGCTACGATTTGCCGTCTACTCACTTATATACAAATATATCTAACTGCATTAGAGATATTTTATTCTTGTACTGTTTGCAAAACATTGCAATTTCCTAAGAATGTCACCGGAAAAAGTCAATAGTCATTTCCGGTCAAGGTGTGTCTGTGGCAACTTCAGTCTGGCTTTGTCATAAGTATCTGGCAGGCGGCACGCTATATCCACAACAAAGCAATGAAAGAATTACTGTGTTTCGGTTACTTCTTAAAACGTAACTATTGTGCAATCACCAAAGTAACGATTAAGCCAATCGAAAGAGACTAGGATCGAATGTCAAAAAGTAAAAAAAAGAAATAGGAAATGAACCAATCACTGGAACGAGCACTTAGTCAAAATCAAAATTGATAGGTATACAAAGCATAAAAGGTTTGACCACGTTTTGCGTTTTGCAGGTCTTGTGGTACGCGTACCTCAACAATAATCAATGTGCTATATGCATGAACGTCTGGTTTCAGCACAAAATATATGGCCGAGGTAGTTGGTCTGGAGGTAATCAGCCGATCCAACTACATTTCCTGAATTTTCCTCTCTCTGCACAAACATCCAAACCAATTCCAAACGTTTCTGGTCACTATTTAAACTAAAATGTGCAACACGTTCTGTCCCGGAAAAAATTCAATAAAAACGAGTGGCGACAATGTCCGTGAATATGCTGAGAATCCTATGGACATCCGCGCAACGCTTTTCACTGAACTGCTACTTCGTATCAATCTTCTCGAGTGTTCGTAGCAATATTGTTAATCAGCAATCTATATCCGACACCACTGACACTATTTGTCTATTTTCAATGACAATTATGACATTATTTTGTCGGAAGGAACAGTGCGTTCAGTTTTAAGAAATCTCGATAACAACAAAGCGCATGGTCCAGATGAAATCCCAGCAAGATTACTTACCGAAACTGCATATCAAATCGTTCCATATGCCTTCTGTTTAATAAGTGGAATAATACTTCGTCCTTAAAAAGTGGAATAGTACCTCGAGAATGGAAACTTGCCAATGTTGTACCCATCCACAAAAAGGAGGATAAAGATCATATAGAAAACTATCGGCCAATCTCTCTTGTCTCACTTGTCTCCAAAGTCTTGGAGCGTTGCGTATTCACTGATTAGTATCAAAGAACATGCTTTCAGTCAGAGGCTTTCAGTCAAATAAATTCTTGCCAACATGGCTTCATTTCCGGAAAATCATGCGTGACACAACTAATTGAAGTTTTAGTTACCATCGCGGGCAGTCTGTTAATTAGATCTCGGAAAGCAGATTGATGCATGTGATCTACCTGGATATGTCAAAAGCATTTGATAAGGTTAGTTAGAGAATTTGGATTCGGAGTAAATCTTTTAATGTGGTTTAATTCTTACTTGAAAAATCGCCAACGACAAACTACTGTTCTCGGTGCAAGCACTATACCAGTGCAACAAAATATATTTTAAATGTTCCCTTTATTTGTGATATAGAATATAGAGACAGACTCCTTGCAACCAGTTTGCTTCCTCTCAGCTACTGGCACGAATACCAGGGCCGTGCCACTTGTGTGTGTGTGTGTGTGTGTGTGTGTGTGTGTGTGTGTGTGGGGGTGGGGGCGGGGGGGGGAAGGGGGCCCAAATTTTGGAATACACCCCTCTCCCCCCCCCACCAACCAGAAACCGGTTGGCACGGCCCTGACGAATACCTGGACGTAGTATTCTTCATGAAGACAAATCACGACATTTTTAAAATTGATAAAAAAATCCTTTCATTTCCTCAACCAGTCAGGGTCAAAGACCGACAAGATCATTTAACCCCAACTGGCACACTAATATAAACCGACATACAAGACGTCAACCTATGAAAAATCTTACAAAATCCGAGCAACAAGAATATGGAACACACTACCTAATCATATATCGCATCCAAAGACCGAACATTTTCAGAATTCAAGAATCTTCTTTTTAAGTACTATACAGGGTGTATAAAAAAAAGGAGACCTTTAGAAATCAACCATATTGTTCAAATTTGAATGCCTTTTCAATTGCACATATGCATGCTGAACCGCAGTGCGTGAAATATTGATGGGGCATATATTAGAAAAAGGAGACCTTTAGAATTTGAAATAACGTTTAAAAAAATTATTGTCTGCTCCTAGGAACAATCTGCCATACATACTGTACGTAGATCGCATGTTACGCACTCGTGGGCTTAGCAAAGTGCTCCAGGATTCAAATTATAACAATGGTTGATTTCTAAAGGTCTCCTTTTTCTAATATATGCACTCATCAATATTTCACGCACCACGGTTCGGCATATGTGCAATTGAAATGGCATTCAAATTTTAACAATATGCTTGATTTCTAAAGGTCTCCTTTTTTTTATACACCCTGTATTTTAGCATTAGAAAAAACACACGATGTTGAGGATCCCCGCACATGGAAAAGTATAAAATGTAATTCGCTCGGAGTTGACCAACTCTCCATTGACATGCTGGTTTTAGACATGTATAATGCAATGACTGTTGTTCAAGTATTGTTTATTGTGTGTGCTTAGACCTTAGTATACCTTGTAAATTGTTTACGTATACTTATCGGGGCCGCTGTAATTGGAGATTATTATTTTATCTTTAATTTGAGATTTAATTTTAATTTTATTTAATTTGAGATTTAATTTTAATTTTATTTTATCTTTAATTTGAGATTTAATTTTAATTTTATTTTAATTTGAGATTATTATTATTTTAACTTTTGGGACCCTGTAAATGGAGCAATAGGCTCTGCAGGGCTAACATGTCATTTATGACTAAGTTGGCAATAGCTGTTGTGGTTTCCTCAACATTTTTCCTGTTGTGGTTGTCAACCATTAGGCTTAATGGCGAACCATTATATTTTTCGGGAAGGGGGAGTGTGAAATTCTTAAAAAATTGTTTGCAAGAACAAAATGTCCAAATAAATTGTTTGCACATTTATATGAGAAGCGAAAAAAAACTATTTTGCAAACTTACTAAGCTGTTATTAGCTGGACAAAAAATGTAAGCAGGAAGAGCAGCCACAAAAAAATTGTTTGCAAAGACAACAATACTGACACAAAAAAAAATGCTGGTGTTGAATAAATGTCCGGCCATTCTCCTCCAAAAAATAATGATCCGTCCCTTAGGCAGACCTTTACACGAGTTGCTCAATTATATAATTTTAGCACAGGATGCCATTACTCAAAACTGCAGCCGCCATTATCCGCGAAATTTACGTGTACATGCTTCCACTTGAACATTTTAAACTTCAATTGCAAGCGGTGAGTATTTTGTACCGTTTTGTACCGAACGATTTTGAGAACAAATATACTTCAAAAGACTTGCTAAATTTGGTTTCAGTGTTTGCTTTTAAATTTAAATATAAGAACATTCTAAATAGATTTTATTTCAAGAAATATATCTCGGGGTTGCATACGTGTACAACGCACATTGAACTGGGGGAGAGGGGTGACGAAGTTGGTTTTGTCAATTTACATGTATTAACCTTGCAATATTGGGAGAAACGGTCTCAAGGGTTATGTCCAATTGAGAATGATTTTATGGGTGAACATTTGTTTCAATCTCTTTTCACTGCTGAGTCGAGATACCCAAAGTTAAACAGTAATAGTTAAAGACAACTAGAAAGCGGGACGCGATTCTTGAACGGGTCCTGACTAACTTGCATAAGTACTACAAAGATCCATGTTTCTTTCCGCCCTTTGGTTTATCTGATCATCAGAACACAGTCGTCAAGGGTAAGGAAAGAGATAGCTGCATGTCGCTCCACGAAATTCATGCTCAACGGCGAGTGATAAGCGAGCCAGTGGCAAGGCTGAATTGTGAAGGTATCTGGGTGGGCTAAATCGGTCCATACTATTTTCGTTTATTGAAGCCTGCGAGGATTTGGTGAATATTTTCCACGATCGATGGCGTACGCACTGGCCTAAATCTGTTGATGTCCGTGTGAACCATTAAAACGACAAACATGGCACTGAGTCACCATAGGCATAGTACAAATTTTACAGGAATACTGTAAATCGGGAAAGAAACAGCGACAATTATAAATAACTTAGTCTCGTTTGCTAAAGAACAATTGGAATTTCAACCTATCCAGTAAGGCGGAAAGAATTTAGAAATTGTCAGAATTGCAAGAAGCCAAGAAGGCACTGGGAGAAGCTGGCATCACGACCATTACTTCGTACAGCGAAACGATGTGTAATAAATTTTTTCAACTCTATATATTGTTAGTGATGAAAACAATAAACCCCGATAATTACTTCCAACTAATAATTACGCTCCACATGATCTAAGAAGAAACAGACGTTTTCAGCGATCCCCGAATGGAGGACCAACCGGTTCAGAAACACATTATATCTTCCAGCATTATGAACAATGTTTTTTCAAACTGATTAAATTAGTTTTTTAGCGTTTATATTTCCTTACCATTATATATTTCCAGTTGGCCACTGGAAAAGGGCACGGTTATGCAAATTTCAGTTACTAGAATATCAAACCGCCCTTCTAAATTCCATTTTTCTTCCAATGTTTTGCATTATATTTTAGAGAAATGGGGGGGGGGGGGCAAAATGGGGCCCCCAGTTATATAGCCCATCAACCGTTATTAAAAGGCCTTGGTTTCCCGCAATATCTACATCATGATCATGTTTTGCCATATTGCTGGGCAACAGTTTTCCCTTTCGTGACGGTAAGTTCCTCAGCAGTTTTGATATCTTACATTATTGTTTGTGCGACTGGGTCCATGCAAGTGAGATGCTGGTTGTGTCTTGTCTTGGCGTTCACAATTGCGGCAATTTTCCGAGGGCGTTTGAGGCAATCGGC